GCCGCCGCCGCCGCCGCCCGCACCCGACGGGGGCCTGGGGAACTTCGCAAGCGCGACCGTTGGCGCGCCAGCCGCCAGAGGCGGCCTGCCGACCGCGGTGGTTCCCGGGCCCGGTCTGGCTGCCGCCCGCCGCCTGCCCACCGCCACGCGCCCGCGTTGCTGTGCTGCTGCTCGGGCGGCCACAACCCAGGCGGAAGCACAGGCCAGGCCGCCGCCCCCACAACACCCCCCGCTCTCGCCCCGCCCCAAACTCCCTCTCCTCCGTCGCCGCTGGCCGCACTCTTGCACAGGATTCCGTTCAGCTTTCGCCTCCCCCGCCTGAGCGGCGGGCGGGGCTTTGCAGTGGCAGACGCGGCATCAGCAATCCTGGGTTGCACAAACCAACTCGGGCTGTTTGTGTACGGACCCTTTTCAAATACATTCGGTCATTCTTTATGCGCATATAAACCAATTGATACACAACCAAGTTTTACGTACCACCCCTCACCCACACCTCTCATAGCTCTTAACGTCACCAATATCGTCAAAGGAGTGGGTCCTTCAAATAAAAACAAAAATTCACACCAAAACACCCGATCACCCCGCTCTTCTCTTGGAACGAGGGCCTGGTGGCACACGTCCGTTATTTTCGTACATCCAATCTGCCCCTACCGCGAAACAAGGTTTTTATACAGAATTATTGTAGATGTAACTAAGGACACATAATATTATAACTTCATGTGGTTGATTATTTCAAAATCCTACAGAATTCTTCTCATACAGCTCAATTTCCTTTTCCACAACCTCGCAAACACCCCTCTCTCACTTGCCTCAATTTTTGCACACCCCCGAGCCAACAAAATCAAAGTGCTCCCTCGTATAATTTTATCCCAGGATTTTTACTTACTTGCAGCAGATTACAATTCGGGTACTGTCGCAAAACACATAGGTCTTTTATATTTGCGGATTATATCACACTATGTTCTTTTCAACTCTCCCTATACACTGCCAAACACGAGTTTTCCTCTGAATGTCAGAGGGAAAAAAATACGTTCATTCCGTCCTCATCCGGTTCAATTCACTATTTGAACATTATTATTTCTAAGTCGGAAAAATAGGATAAACAAGCCTTTTTACTCATTCATAATTAGGGCAACGGTCCTATCAATTTAGATTTTTCTAACAGATTTTCAGTTCAAGCAAGAATTAAGTAAGAAATATAGCTTTGCTTATTTAAGTTAAACCATTATTAAATACTCCGCCTAACTTGTTAAAGTTGGAACGCAATTCAGTACAAACTGTAAATGCCCCAAACAGTAAAAGCAGATGATTTTTTTTTTAAAACGCATTTTTTTCAACCAGAGATAGCAAAATCGAGTGTAAAGAGACGTTCATAACAATTCCTGTATTTTAAAAATTTTGTTTCAAACAATGCATCATTATTGTAAAAGGTTTCAATGGTACATACTCAACAATGGGTAAAAGTTATAATTAAACTTACTTGAAATTTTCAAATAATAATTTTAGGGGAATACCATTAAAATATAATGAAACATAATAACGTAATGCTACTAGTAATTCCTACCGCAAATGTACCGTAGTATGAATGTGACACCATCGATAATAAAACAATTACGGGTTTATCAAACATTTCCTGTTACAAAATTAAAACAAATAAACGATGTTTTTTTTTCTGACATCGATGGTTTGTTAGACAGGAAATTATGTTAACCTCTACACTCTAACAACTTAAAATTTGTGTGCATTAAAATTTAATTTTGATCTTGTCTCCTATAATTTTCGCCGAATAAGAGTATACAAAGATGAAAGAAGGCGCAGACGGCCTATCCCGCCCCCGCACAGCGTTATTTTGTTGACCATCGCGATCATAATTCCATAATTACCATCCATTCAACGACGCGACAAGAATATGAAAGGAAAGAGGAAACTATAAGGGCGTGAGGTAATCTTGGTGCGACGAGAGAGGCTTTCTTCGATGAAGATAGTCACATGAAATAACACAAAGATGTTTACTATGAGTTTTATTATCATATTTTAAGTATTGTTATCCTGCGGAATTTTTTTTCCATACCGGGTCTTTAAACGAAAAGAAATTTTAAAGAAAAGAAAACGTCGGAGGGAAAAAGAAAAAACCCTCTTCAAGAATCTTCGAACGAAACACATACGGCAAAGCCAAGAACGCTATTTCCACACACCACACACGACAAAGAAACGAGGTGAATTTAAGAAACTGATCGGTGGTTAATACTCACTTCGATTTTTTCTAACAAAAATAAGTCGTTTTGAAAACACTTCGAGAGGACATCGATGTCCCGCATCCGCTAACCATAGAAAGTGCGAATTTGTCTGAAAATTAATTTTCAATTTACCCTCTGGGAAGCGTCCACCCCGCGTCAATTCCAGAGATCGTGGGGAGCCGAGACCAAGAGCCATCTGGCGATGCGGCAGGCAACGCTTAACCAGCGACGTTAACACCCGCGGCGCAGCAGCGAGTGCGACTTTTACGTGATATGGACGCCACAGCACGTGGCCAAAATTGAGCTTCGTTCGTGTCCCTCGAAAGCACTTCCCTCGAATGCCAGCCCACTATAGTGGTATTGGGAGTCCGGTCACCACAATGGATTCTCTGAAAGCCACGGCGTACCTAGCCCTCCGCGATTCAAGTCCTTGGCGGGCTGGGAGAGTCCGTAAAGGCGAAAAAAATCCTGTTTGCCATGTACCGTGCCCCACGCGACACGCAGGAGAAACCCCCCCTAGCTTAAACTACCCCCAGCAAAGATTGAGATGCCGTCCTGTTGAAAACGTTCCCGCTCGTAATCGGCATATTTTGGGCTTCCAGGCTGGGGGCCAATAACTTACCCAGAAGTTTGGAAAATAAAGAGATAAGTCGACTCTTGACCATATGGATAGAGGCTCGGTTCCTGTATTGGGGCGAAATTGGTTTAACTGAAATAGACAGGATGTACGAATAGTGCTTTCTGAAAATGCCTTCTCGGGGCGGATCAATACCTCCGAAGTTGCAACAAAGGGGTCGCTCAAAATCGGCCCGTGTCGTCTGGTGGGACGATCCCACACAAACGAGACGAGCATCAAGAACACGAGAAATAATCCTTCACCTGCCCCCTCTTGCTTATTCATCGCGAGAGGAAGTGGCAGAAATGTCTAGGGTTCTGTTGCCTCTTATGAATTTTCTACTAACGGTGTACATGCACATGGGGGCAAATAATATATAAACCCATCAATTACATTACGAATTTTATTTAATGTTAGCATCTCTCATTAAAATGCATTAAGATTCGAGTGGACTTTTTCGTGTTGCCGCCTGCACTTGCGTCATACACATACTCTCACTTTGTCAAGACCAAACCGAGAACATGAAGGAAATAACATTTAATGTGCACCGAATCCTGTTTCACACGGGTTAACTTATCTGCTGAAAGGAATACAGGTTCGTCTCTTTTTTTTAATTTATTAACATCGGATTTGAAAGACTTTACGTTACGCTTCAGAAATTGCACAATACCACGCGTATCATCGCCATAGGCCGCCGACGTCCCAGACTGCATACCGGAGGACTCCTCTTTTTCGAAACGTCTCCCTTGGTCTCGAAGATATCCCACGGGAACACTTTTCTAATCGCCAAGCAAGCCCTTCCTCCAAGGCGACAAAATTGTTTTAAAAATATAACTTGTTAAAGCCGTTTCAATGTCTACATGGTTTACTCTATTAAACATGAGTTTAGAAGGCAAAATCTCGTAGAAAAAGACGATAATATCATTACACATTTAGCTTGTAAGTATCTTACGAAACCTCTACTGCTTTATAGACCATCGTATCCGGGTAGTTTTTGAATGACATGCGGGTCGTTGTTTGAAATTGAATTCATTTTTGGGGCGCACAGACACCGGCTCGTTTTTAGAGAACGACCGTGTCCGCATCCGTGCACGGATAGTTTGCGTCAACCTCCTCAGAGACTGCAATGTGTGCTGTAGCGAAGTGGGTGCAGTGCCACGCCGACCTCTCGTGAGATTGCGGCCGGAACGCGCGGTTAGTTTACGCGGCGCCCTTGGCGCTGGCAAACATGGCCCAGCAGCGGACAGTGGATAATGCCGACCTTAAAAGACGGGGATGGCCATAATTGATTGATGCACAATTAGAGAAAGAAAAGAAGACAAAAAAAGAAGAAGAAACAACGAGAAATGGGTCAAACACTTTCAAACAGCACGGGGGGCAGGACATCACTCTTTTGTATGCAAATTCGTAAATTATTTACGCAATTTTATTTGGAAGAAACGGAAAAGAACAAAAGAATTCTTGTAGTGCATAATGTTGGGGGAGAAGGGGGTGTTTTCGTATTTTCCTGTTTATACAACCAATTACTCACTGCCCTAGTTTTCTGAAAAATTTCACAGAACAAATAGAAACTGGTCTGCATTCGTTTTGGAAGTATTTGATAACAATCCACACGAACAACCTTTTTTCGACTTTAAAGAGCAAATAACGTGATATATCTAGGTTAGGTCCCAAGAACATAGAATCAACGCTGTTTCATTCGATTAATAATCTAGCTCTTTGAACAAAACACAAAAGCTGACGGGAAGGCAAAACACGGATTTCAACCTCTCCAACCAACAAGCGAAAGCCTACGTAGATTACGATTTATTTACACATCGAATTGCAAATCCGACGTTGCATTTTGAAACATAATAACCAGAGCCGCCTGTGTAAAATGTTTGGTCCAAAAACCACAATTTCGGAACAAAGAGTTGAATGGCTCAACCCAAAACTACCTGACAGTCCAGGCCAACGCTTATCTTCTTCCACGTTTTCTTTGAGCCTGACGTTCTGTAGTTGTCGGAGCCCGTGTCGTACAAGTACTGGTATGGCGCACGAATCGGGATGAGCTGGCAGGTCGCGGGCGGAGCGGTCCATGGCGAGGGCGTCGTTTGGCTGAGCCAGCGACCGGGGCGGAGAGGCGCAAGCCGGACGGGCTGCTACCTGCTGCTATCCTGGGAGGCGCGAGCGGCAGCTGGCGGGCGGGCCGCCAACTGGCGCAGGAAAGCCGCGAAAGCTGCAGCTGCGGCGGCGGCGGGCGGCCGGCCGGCAGCGGGCGGCGGGTGGCTCGGCGGGCGCGAGGGCGGCGGCGGCGGCCGGGCGGACGGAACGGGCGCCTGTGCTGCGGGCCTGGCCTTTGGCAGCCTGGGCGAAGCGCGAGTCAGGCAGCGGGCGGCCGCAAGCGGCGGCGCGGCGCCGGCGTGGCGGCGTGGCAGTGGCGGCACTCTCCGCCCCGGTCGCTGGCCCAGCAACGACGCCCTCCGCCATGGACCGCTCCGCCGGCGACCTGCAGCTCATCCGATTCGTGCGCCAGTACCAGTACTTGTACGACACGGGCTCCGACAACTACAAGAACGTCAAGCTCAAAGACAACACGTGGAAGAAGATAGCGTTGGCGCTGGGACTGTCAGGTAAGGTTTTGGGTTGAGCCATTCAACTTCTTTGTTCCGAAATTGTGGTTTTGGACCAAACATTTACACAGGCGGCTCTGGTTATTTATGTTTCAAAATGCACGTCGGATTTCAATTCGATGTGTAAATAAATCGTAATCTACGTAGGCTTTCGCTGTGTTGGAAGAGGTTTGAAATCCGTGTTTTGCCTTCCCGTCAGCTTTTGTGTTTGGTTCAAAGAGTAGATTATTATCGAATGAAACAGCGTGATTCATGTTCTTGGGACTAACCTAGATATATCACGTTATTTGCTCTTTAAAGTCAGAAAAAGGTTGTTCGTGTGGATGTTACTCAAATACTTCCAAAACGAATGCAGACCAGTTTTCTATTTGTTCTGTGAAATTTTTCAGAACTAGGGCAGTGAGTAATTGGTTGATAAACAGAAAATACGAAAAGCACCCCCTTCTCCCCCACATTATTCACTACAAGAATTCTTTTGTTCTTTCCGTTTCTTCAAATAAAATTGCTAATAATTTACGAATTTGCATACAAAAGGTGATGTCTGCCCCGTGCTGTTGAAGTGTGTGACCATTCTCGTTGTTTCTTCTTCTTTTTTGTCTTCTTTCTTTCTCTTAATTGTGCATCAATTAATCAATTATTCCATCCCCGTCTTTTAAGGTGGTCATTAATCACGTGTCCGTGCTGGCCATGTTTGCCAGCGCCAAGTCGCCCGCGTAAACTAACGCGTTCCGGCCGCAATCTCACGAGAGGGGCGTGGCACTGCACCCACTTCGTACAGCACACATTGCAGTCTCTGAGGAGGTGACGCAAACGTGCACGGGCGGACACGTGTGTGCGCCCAAAATGAATTCAATTCAAACAACGACCCGCATGTCATTCAAAACTACCCGATACGATGTGTCAGTACTTCTAAATTGTTGATATTATGTCTTTTCTACGAATTTGCTTATAAACATTTAATAAGTAACCATTAGACATTGAAACGCTTTATCAAGTATATTTTTAAAACAATTTTGCAGCTGTGGGATTAGAAGTGGTTCCCGTGGATACTTGAGACCAAGGGAGTTCGAAAAAGTGTGCAATCTGAAGCTAACGTAAAGTCTTCAAACGTAAAAACGATATTTTTCAGCATAAATGATTCTGCCATTAAATGTATTTCCTTCATGTTCTGTGAAGTATGTATACGCAAGGGCAACACGAAAATCCACTCGATCTAATGCATTTTAAATGAATTAACATTAAAAAATTCGTAATTAATTATTGTTTTTATTATTTATTTGCCCCCATGTGCATGTACGTAGTAGAAAAATCATAGAGAGGCAACAGACCCTAGACATTTCTGCACTCCTCGCATGGGCAGGAAATTATTTCTCGTGTTTCTTGATGCTCGTCTGTTGCCCACCAGCGACACGGGCGATTTTGGCCCCTTTTCAAATTCGGTCCCGCATGGGCATTTCAGAACATATTCGTACATTCTTCTTTCAGTACCAATTTCGCCATAAGGAACCGACCTATCAATGGTCAGTCATTTATCCAAAACTTCGGTAATTCCCCAGCTGAACAAATCCATTACGACGGAAGTTAAGGACGGATTTCATTTTGCTGGGTAGTTTAGCTAGGGTTCTCCTGCGTGCGTAACATGGCAAACAGGATTTTTTCGCCTTACGAAACTCTCCCAGCCGCATTTGAACGCGCGTACGTGGCTTTAGGAATCCATTGTGCCGACTCCAATACCACTGTGGCTGGCTTCGAGGAAGTGCTTTCGAGACACGAACGAGCTTTGGCCACGTGCGTCATATCACGTAAGTCGCACTCGCTCTGCCCGCGGGTGTACGTCGCTGGTAGTTGCCTGCGCAGTGGCTCTTGTCTCGGCTCCCACGTCTTGGAATTGAGCGTGACGCTTCCCAGAGGGTAATTGAAATTAATTTCGACAAATCGACTTCATGTTAGGGATGCGACATCGATGTCGAAGTTTTCAAAACGATATTTTTGTAGAAAAATCGAAGTATTAACACCGATGTTTTTTAACATTCGTGTTTTGTGAATAGCGTTCTTTCTTTGCCGATGTTTTGTGAAGAGGTTTTTTTCTTTTCCGACGTTTTCTTTTCTTGAAAATTTCTTTTCGTAAGTGAAAAAAATCCCATGATAACAATACTTAAAATATGAAATAATAACTCATAGTAACATTGGTATTCATGTGAACTATCTTCATCGAAGAAACTCTCTCGCCCAAGATTACCTCCACGCCCTTATATTTCCTCTTTCTTCATATTCTTTCGCGCGTTGAGATATGGTCAACAAATACGCTGTGGGCGTAGGGTCTGCGCTTCTTCTCTTGTATACTCTTATTCGGCGAATTAATAAACAAGATCAAATTAAATTTTAATGCACACAAATTTAATGTTAGAGGTTACTAATCCTGTCTAACAACATCGATGTAGAAAAACATCGATATTGTTTTAATTTTGAACAGAAATGTTTGATAACAGTAATGTTTTATTATCGATGTCACATCACTACTACATGCGGTATTACTAGTAGATACATTATTATGTTTCCATATATTTTATGGTATTCCCCTAAAATTATTATTTGAAAATTTCAAGTAAGTTTAAAATAACTTTACCATTTTTGAGTAATGTACATTGAAACTTTTACATAATTATGATTGTTGAACAAAATTTTAAAATACAGGATGTATGAGACGTCTCTTTACACTCGATTTTGCTAGTGAAAAAAATGCGTTTTAAAAAATATCTATCTGCTTTTACTGTTTGGGCATTTACAGTTTGTACTAATGCGTTCCAACTTTAACAGTTAGCGGGAGTATTTAATAATTAACTTAAATAAGCAAGCTATATTCTACTTAATTCTTGCTGAAATCTAGTAGTAAAATCTAATTGATAGACCGTGGCCTAACTAATTTGAAGTAAAACTTGTTTATTATTTTTCCCTTAGAAATAAATGTTCAAACTTTGTGAATGAACCGATGAACTATTTTTTTCCTCTGACATTCAGAGAAAACTCGTTTTTGTATAGTAAAAGAACATAGTTGTAATCCGCAATATAAACCTTTTTCACAGTTGTAATCTGCAATATAATCCTGAAAATACAGCACTTGATTTGCAAAAATTGAGCGAGTTCTGAAGGAAATTGAATGAGAAACTTCTTATAATCCACATAAAATATTATTACCATCTACAATAATTTCTGTAAAACTTTTGAGGGCAGATTGGATTAGGAAAATACGGATTGCCCACCTAAAGAGGTGATGCGGTTTTTTTTGAACACTCCTTTACATATTGTACGTAAACTTGTGTATAATGGTTTTATATGCATTAGTAAATGTATTTAAATGTGTACACAACACCATTGGTTGCACCCATGCGCGTCCACTGCAAAGCCCCGCCCCCGCTCAGGCGGAGGCGAACGCCCGTGCAAGAGCCGGTGGCGGGGCGGAGCGGGGCGGCGCCCTGGCCTGTGCTTCACGCCTGGGTTGCCGCCCGCGCAGCACAGCACGCGGCGCGTGGCGTGGCGCGCGGGCGGCAGCCAGACCGGCCCGGCCACGCGGCGGCCGGTGCGCCGCGTTGGCGAAGTTCCCAGGCGCGTCGGCGGGCGGGCGTGCGGCGGCCGGCGCCGGCGGTTGCCTCACCGTGTGCGGCTTGGTCGCCTCGCCGCCTTTTCCGCGAGCGCTTCGCCGCGCGCGCGCGACGCGCGCTGCGCGGCCTAGGCGCCTGGTTCGCCGGATTACGACGGGGCGGCTGGAACCCAGTGGGCTGCAGGTTCAAGAAATGTTCCATAAAAGGAAGACGAGTGATTTTTTGTTTTTAAATAACACACACATCACATAAGCACAAATATTTATATTATATATATATATATATATATATATATATATATATATTATTACTTGAAAGTTGTTGAAAATCTCTTGTCCTAAATATTCAAATATCATACTGGTTATATGAAGGCTTTATTAATTACTTGGGAGGGGAATATGAATGTGTACTCCAAGAAGAATCGGCGTGAGGTAATGGAGGCTGCGCTTTTCGTCCCCTTCCCGCCCCATCCGTTGTTTCTACTCAGGGGAGTGAGCAGATACAGAAATATCCAGGTAGATGAGAATCCAATAAATGAAAAAAAAAATGAGTAAAGAGATAAACCTGCCTTCTGTAAACTTAAGTTTATCTAAAATACGGCGCTAAATTTCTGAAATAGAAAACGATTAATGAGTTCTTTGCATCATATTAAACAAAATTATTTAAATTATTGCATAATAAAAAAGTATTAAATTGAACCACTTTTCACTGATTCTTTGAATTAGTTGAAGTCGATAGTATCCACCATATTGATTTTAAGTTACTCTCTGTAATACGACTCTTGATGTGAACATTATTAGTTTGTTCTTTTAATCATTGAATTTCGTTGATGGTTTAAAATTAACGGGATTCGAAAATTTGACGTTCACGGTGAACAGCGTAATCTTTGTTCCTTGTTTGTCGGAATATAACAAACAGATTTAAAAAATCTGTGATTCAGTTCACTTCAAATGTATAAACAACATGTTCTGACGACTATGCTTCGAGACAAAATAGAAATATATTCAGACATTTATATTCAAAAGAATATTTGTCGTTCCATTCGCGTCCGTCTGTTTGGAGATCTTGTGATGGAACAACTTGTGCGAACAATGCCGTTGCGACCTTTGCAATCAGCAGAACGCAGACTTTCAAGTTTTGTGCGAGAACGGATGTGGTTCTTTGGTGTTTATTCGTCGGCGGCTCTGAATGTTTTAACCCGATGCGCGTGGCCAGCACCCTGAAAAAGCTCTCTCTTGGGCAGCGTCGAGTCCTTCCCTCTGCGTGTGTTTTAGCATTGCTCTGCCGCTTTGATTTCACGGCTGCGTTGCTCCCGGCGTGCGGCAGCCGCCATTTTGATGAGATTTGCCCACCATGTCGTCGTTGTGTATCATGAGAGTGAGCGGGCGCAGACTGGGTCCT